AGTCTGCATGTCACTCACTCAAGTACCCCTGACATGGGAGCCGCGCAAGTTTTCCTTTTGTAGCAAGCAGCAAAATAATTGTAACATGACGTGTTTGAGTTAATTTACCTACTTAATATCGCACGTCCTAAAAAAAGTTATTATAAAAAATTAGAAAACCGCACGTCCCTGCGATGTGAATGCGCATATCGCCATGACACGATATATCGTTCAGCCCTAGTGGGTATACAATACATCTTTAAATCTGCACAGTTTCAAGTTAGACTTAAATATATGCCGCTTTTCTAACTCTGATATTGAAACACTAGAATGCCTGTTCTGTTCTTTTCCTTTAGTTCAAACATTTTGGGATGCTTTCCAGTATTGGTTAACTTACAAATTGACATATGATAATGTGAAATCTAGCCTTTTATTTGAGAAAAAAAAGAGATTATTTTAGCTAAATATTTGATCCACCAATGTCAGCAAAATGTCGCCAGTATTTGTTAGTTTCCTTAAACACAAAAAACAAAATCACTTAGATGTTGCAAAAGTAAAAAATCCCAACAATTTTACCTTAATTCCTGATTAGCCACTTGTTTTGTTTTTTTATGGCCTCAGTTTGAATTCATTTAATGGACACTGATGTGAAGGGTCTTTTTCTGGTGTATTTGCAAAATTGATCAATAAAGTTGAAATTGTATTTTTAAAATCTGAACTTAAAGGTAGGGTAGGTAAGAATGGAGAAACCAGCTCGAGTGTGCTAGAATTTGAAAGTACGCAGATGAAAAAAATCTGCCTCTTCCTCACAGAGCCCCTCCTCCAACACACACGAACGCGGACATGACCAATGAGGGCACGAGATAAGTTTGTGCACAGATGGAAGGCTGACAGGCAGGTAGGCCATCCAGTTACTTTAGCGGGGCCGGCTAAAATGATTGGTCGTGCTTTTTACAGTACTACGGCTTCCACAGATAACATTTTTTTATGTATTTATTGTCAAAGCATTTAATATATTCATTGCTATCGGGATGTTAAGAGCAATCCATGGAATATAACAAGTGTTTCTGAAGTGAATTACCTACCCCACCTTTAAGAGATCAGAGTCTTACCTTAAAGAATCCGATGACTGCCACCTCGCTGTCAGCAATCAGAGACTCGGCCTCTGTGACTCCGGCCAGGGTTGCGACGGCCGGGCCGGTGCGCTTCTTCAGCCAGGCCACGATGTCGTCAGCCGTCCTGCCAGCTGCAACACAACACAACAACTCAAACACCTCTGTATGCAGACATCATGGGACTGGTCAAATGCTAAACTTGAAACATTAAACTCATCAACGCATCAACATGCAGATTTGATCGACTTTATGCGTATAAGGAGAGAAAGTTGCATCTATCTAAGCAGTTGAACAAACCAAACAGATAACCTGATCCTTTTTATTAAGGAGATGCAGATGTTTAAGAGAGTTAACACCTGCCTTGGTGTGGGAAAAGAGACATCCATCCATTTATTGTTGTGTGCAATTTCAAGAGAAAACATTTAAACGGCAAGAACAAAACAAAAATAATAATCCTTTAGTTGATCAACAACATTAATCTAACTATTTGGACAAACAGTTAATGGTTTTTAATGCCAAAAAATACACAAGGCTATTTCCTGCTTTTCTATTTTTTCAAATTATATTCAAGTGAATATAACCTTGGACTTTGAAAACACTGATGGACATTTTATAAAAATGTTCCATCATTTTATAGACGAAAAAATATTCATCTAGAAAATAAGCAGATTAAAATGTGAAAATAAAAATAATTATAAGTTACAGACCTATCTGCAATTAAAGTGGACTTAAAATAAACCTGGCTGTTAAATTGAAACTGATGCAACAGGGTTGCAATTGAGTGTTGGAGCGGTGGGGTTTGTGGCAGTCATTTCCCTAACCTACTCCCTCCAAAACGGGCCTGGCCCAGGCCAGCAGAGAGGCAACGTGAATAACTGCACATCTCTCTGCTGGCTCACAGTCAGCATGACAGGAACGTGTGGGGAGGGCCCAGTCAAAATTTTGTCTAAGTAGAGTTCCTCAAAGCTGATTGGCTGACTTTCAGTTTATGCTGCTGTGCAGATCATATTACTAAGAGGGGCCAATAGGGCTCGCTTTTAGTTGTCGGAGTAGATTCCTTCTTGCATTTTTGGACCCTTTCATGAGAATTAACTAAGGAAAAAAATGCACTCTTATGACAGGAGTTACTCAAGATTACATCACTATTTGAATAAATCTCTAATTTATTAAAGGTGAAATGGAGTAGAGAAAACAAAAAAGGTACACAGTGGGAAAAAGACTGGTTCATTTTAAATGGTTGCTTTACTGAATCTAAAGAAAGTTATATGATCGTCATTAGATCTCAATCTAACATACCAGTATAGAAAATATCAACAGACCCTGTTTGCAGTATAAAAAAATATGTATTTCCCCTCCACTGCTTCTAAGTTCTCAGTCATTATTATCAAGCGAGCAAGTCTGCACAAATGAAAATCACAATGATGCTCACCAGAGTACTCTTTGGGTGACTCCTTCTCTCCGCCCTTGAAGAACTTGATGGTGGGGTATCCCCGGACGCCATACTCCTGGGCCAGTTCAGTCTCCTCTGTGGCGTCCACCTTACCCAGGCGCACCACTGAGCCATCGGCCTTCAGCATGCCGGCGGCCTTGGCGTACTCTGGAACCAGGGCCTTGCAGTGACCACACCATGGGGCATCTGCAGGAGTCAGGGGACGTTTAGCGGGGCACACACAGATGGTCGTAATGTAAACCTGACCTTAAGGGTGATCATTGGCACAAACAAATCTTTCAGGATGAATTAAAGTTGACCTATACCATATTTTTGGAAAGCTCCAGGTTTAAAAATAAATAAATGTAAAATTACATTTAGAGCTTAAAATCATCAAACTAAAAAGGATCTTTCTGATGATGAACCACACAAAAACACTGAATAACTTGAAGACTACGAGCATTAGAATCATTCAGTTAAGACAATAAATTGATCCGTCAACTTAATGAAGTAAGCTTATTTAATGTGAGGATTAGATTCTTATATCCTTCTTAAAATGATAACTTTAATATGACTATGTTTAGGACTGCTTGTCAAAAACAAGCAAAGGGTGTCAGCTTGGGCTCTAGATACATGACATTTAACAAATTTAACTTAATATAAATACACTATTATCGACCAATTCATTAAGTGGCATTCTGGTACGCTTAATGACAAGAATATATTGAAGTTAGTTTGCAATCTTTTTTTAAAGTTTGAATTTCCGTTTAAGTCCAAACTGTTTCTTTGAAAAGGCTATCAGGATGGCTAAGTAGCAAACTGCCATAACATGCAAGATAATTTAACTACTACTGTGGTTTCACATGTTAAATGTGTACGCAATGGTGTCAAATTGTGCATGTGAAAGGTCTAAGCACAAACTCCACAGAGATAATCACCTATTCAGAAATGACACGTAAAATAAAATGACCTGCATTGCATCACCTTAAATTATTGACAAAGTACAACACTTCCTTGTTCCAGTCCAACCAATATTAACACACAGATGAACTTTTGTAAAGTACACGTCAACCTAGCTCCGCCATCCAACTGAGGTCCCGCCCAGTTTACGAGTACGTGGGCAAAAAAACGAAAAAGAAAACCTACATCCCTCCCATCCTGAGCTCACTGGAGAGTCTCCACGGCCATCTCTCACTGGTTCACTGAATTGTGAGCAGGTCAACAATCTGACAAAAGTATAGCGGGGTGGGCCTGCAGGCAATGAAGAAGTCGCTCACGCAAACCAATCACATTATTATTATGGAAAATAAGTCAAGAACTGCATGAAGAGGACAGTGAATGAGCCTTCCGACCTGTACAAGAACTGAAACACATAGTAGGAAACCACAGCAGGCAATCGAAACTTAAAAGCCCCGTATTTCGTGACTTACAAATAGTGATTACTTTTCACTTCATGCTACTTTCAGCGTTATTGCTCAACTGTTCTAACAGCTTTATACCGAAGGCAAATGTGACAATGCAGGCCATGGCAGATCATACCAAATGCAATATGTTGCGGTAATATTAGCCATGTATATCCTTCAGCTATAGCCAAGTTAAAGCAAGCATCTGATTAAACAAAAGATGCAACAAATGTAAGTCTAGAAGTAAAAAACGAGTGGAACAAGTTTGGTGTTAGTGCGCTGTGCCAAGTTATGTATCCGCATCAGAATCCAGTCACTGTCCACAACGATATACGGTGCTGAAAGATACTGACAACGAGAAAACGCATTGTGATAAGCAATGCCCCTTCATATTGTTACTCGGTTTTAAATACGGTGAAATAGCTGGTTGTAAACTAAGTGAACTAGATGCACATAGAGGCAACATTAAAGACAGACATCAGTTAGCTAGCCGCTAACAGCAGCAAGTTGTTACAAGTGTCAAAGTTTAATGCTAACGTTAACCCAGGCTGAATTAAGCTAGCTAGCAGGGCACCCGGTGAGTCTGTCGGAGTAGGAGACATTTAGCGTTAGCTGGAGATATTTAGTAGCCGCTGTTACTTACAGAATTCCACAAGGATGTTGGGGTGAGCTTTCAGAGCCTCCTCGAAGTTACTTTTCTTCAGTACCAGGACGTCATCTTCCTCAACGATTTCGGCTCTGCTGGCCACAGCCAGTGTGCAGATGAGCAGAAGCTTCAACATTATATGCTTCGAGTATTGTTCTTGGCAGAGAGACTAGAGCGGCAGACACCGTCGGCTACGGGTTAGCTGTGGAAGTGGTCTTAGTTTTGGTCTTCTTCCTTGTTTAAGGTTGGGAGAGTAGCTGGTATTTTGTGTCTACCGCTACTAACGTGGCACCGCACGCAGAAACCGGAGGGGTCAGCCGTAGTGCGCATGCGCATTTATCAGGCCGAAAGCAGTTCGTGTTGAATTGTGACTGGACCGCAGCAGCCTGCACCTGGAAGTGAATGCGAGGCGCTCCCTGCTCACATCAGCCCACTGATAACACACAGGGACCTTGGAAAATGGCATGGAAATCATCATATTCAAGCACCTACGCTATTTAACAATAATCCATATTTAAGCATAGTTTAAATCATATGTTTGCTACATCATGCTGTATTCTTTTTTTGTGTATTCAAACGCAAGAACAAATTATATGTTCCATGTTTAATAATGTAAATATTTCAACGATATTTTCCTGACTCTGGGGTCTGGGCTAAGTATACAACACTAACGGGGGTAACACTGGGGAGGGGAAGTGTTTGGAAATGTGTGTGTGTGTGTGTGTGTGTGTGTGTGTGTGTGTGTGTGTGTGTGTGTGTGTGTGTGTGTGTGTGTGTGTGTGTGTGTGTGTGTTGCATAAG